CTATTGATATTTATTAATAAGAAACCTTCTAATTTCAAATGCGAAACCGGTCAGTTAGCTAAAGCATCGTCCTGTTCCTTATCCACCCCATACTTACATGCCTTTTGCTCTTTTTTCACTTATTCATGACTTATGAAGACCCTCTTGCACTTCCAGCTACACCAATAAATGGTGATTCCTTAATTTGATTGATGATCATACTTGAACGACTTGGGTCTATATTTCAAAAGACAAATCTGAAGCTACGGTCATCTTCAAAAACTTCCACATCTTTATTTTAACCCAATTCAAAACTTTAATTCAAGTTTTTCAGATCGACAATGATCGTGAATTTTTTAACTCTTTATTAGGAGAATTCTTGGTAAGGGCATCATCCACCATAGCTCATGGACGGACACTCTTTAAGAAAATGAGAAAGCCGAGATGAAAAATCGACATCCCATTGACGTTGCTCACTCCATTATGTTTCAATCTAATGTCCCAAAACGTTTTTAGAATGATGCCATACTTATCGCCACATATCTCATCAATAGACCTCCCTAAAAAATTCACAACTTTCAAACTCCTTTAACTATCTTGAGGTTGTGCTTTCTTACCAACTGGGTCTTCTCTAATTTATATCCCAAAATTTTTTGGTGCACGACCTTTGTTCATAACACGACCCCAAATCACAGTAAACTTGATCTCGGGTTCATAAAATGTGTCTTTTTCGGATACTCCGCCTCTAAAAAATGCTATTGATGCATTTATCGTATCACAAATAAAGTATATGTGAGTGCTCATGTCTCCTTTTTTGAAAGTGTTCCTTATTTTCTTAACTCGGCCTCCACTGAGGGGGAGCTAGAGTTCTTTGGCACTATTCCTTACCCTACATCTGTTGATGTTCCCCCCACTTCTCCTATCATCGAAGTGCCCTCTGTCCCTTTTGTTCCACCATATCCTTCCATTCTCCGTGTCTACACTCAGTGTGCTTGCCCTGATGCACTTACTCTGGAGCTTGCTACCTCCTTGTAGGACTTTGATTCCCCTCTGGGCGACATCTCCAGCACTCCTACTCTAAATAAGGAGGTTAGTTCCTCTAATAAGGTACTCAATTAGACTTGCTTCTTCTATTCCATGACAAACTATATTTCTTTCGGTAGTTTATTACTGACATACAGAGCTTTTGTTACTGCCCTGACTGATCATCAGCTCCCATCTGCTATTGAGGCTGCCAGCCTGGAAAGCTATCATAATGGAGGAAATGAATGCTCTTTGGCTAAATTATACTTGGGATATTGTTGATCTTCTTCGAGGTAAGAAAACAGTGAGATGTTGATGGATTTTCAACATCAAGTTTAATTAGATGGATCATTTGAATGCGACAAAGCACGGTTGGTCGCCACAAGGTACTCACAGATCTACAGAGTTGATTATGAGGAGATGTTTTCTCTAGTTGCTAAATTTTATACTCTTCCGGTGCTATTATCCCTTGTGGTGAATCTGAATTGGTCCTTATTTTAGCTTAATGTCAAGAATGCGTTCCTGAACTGCGATCTTATAGTGGTGGTATACATTTCCCTTCCTCCAGACTTTGATTTCATTGCCTCTTAGGGGCAAGTGTGTAGGTTGCAAAATTCTCTCCATAGACAAGCAATCACCACGAGCCTTGTTCTATAAGCTCACAAAGGTGGTAGTGGGCCATGGGTTTACTCAGACTCTATCGGTTCACACGTCACTCCAGTGGCCAGATTGCTATTTTTATCATCCTTGTCGACGATATTGTACTCACTGGTAATGATCTATTATAATTGGAGTCTCTGAAAGACATCCTTGCAACTACTTTTGAAATGAAAGACTTGGGATCTCTCTAGTACCTTTTAGGCATTGTTGTTACTCGATCATCTCAAGGCATTTGTCTGTCTCAATGCAAATATATGATTAACCTTTTGACAGAGAACAACCATCTCCTCTGCAAATCAGGGGGCTGTTCAAATGGATCCTAATTAAAAACTTTCTGTTGTTCCCAATGCAATTCCAACGAGCAAAACTCATTTCAAGTGCCTACTTGGGGAAGCTCAACTTCCTTGCCCATACATGCCCCGACATATGCCACGTAGTTTGTATGCTAAGTCAAACTGTCCATCGCATTCTCCAATATTTAAAAGGCACACCGTGCTCAGGTTTATTTTTTTCGCGTCACACTGCTCATTCTATTGAAATTTACACAAATGCTGATTGGTTGGGTTCGTCCATGATCAGCAATCTATCTCGAGTTCCTGCTTATTTGTGCAAGAAAATCTTGACACGTAGGAAAACAAAAAACAGTTAGTAGTTGCCCGGAGGAGTGCTGAAGCCGAATTTTGGTTCATGTCATTGGGAATTTGCGAAACTATCTGGTTACGTATCATCTCTGCAAAATACATATGTCAGTCTCCATCTCTCTACAATTGTTCTGTGATTGTAAGGCCACCATTAGCATTCCTCACAACCCAGGTTAGCATGATCACACAAAGCATGTTGAGATTGATTGACACTTTATTAAGGAAAGCTCGAGTCTGGGGAAATTTGTGCTCTGTTTGTGTCATCTAGTAATCAGCAGGTGGAAATCCTAAAAAGAATCTTCGTCGGCAACTGTTCGATGATTTCAAATTTAAGTTGAACATGACTAACATCTATGCTTCAACTTGAGGGGGAGTATTAGAATATTAATAACTATTATTACCCGTTATTAATTCTTATTATTATTCTGAGTTATTAGCTTTGATTTCTTTATTATTGCTTTCTTTTTTTCTATTATGTCCTTTTGTTATTTCTTTCTTTATTAGTGGATCTTGCAATGAGTTTATATACCCCATTTTATATCAATAAGATTTATTCTGGTACTATCTAATATATATATAATTTATTTCCTTTTTCTTATAGGATTGGCCAGAGAGCCGACCCCAACCAATCCCCATGCGCTAATTCGAAACTTGTTTTGAGATTCGAAGTCGGGGCAAGCGAGGACTTAACGCCATTGCTACCAACCATCTTTACCAAACCGGTGCAACTATATATATATATATATATATATATAATTTATATTAAATAGCTTAACTAAAATATGATTACTCACCTCTCTGCACGAGAGCTCCTTTAGAGCCGCAACGTTCTTCCTCCTCAACTCCTTTGATCGCGGCTCAACCAAACACATGCGACCAACCTCCTTCAGCTTAGGCCTCAGGATCAAGCCACTAAGCGCATAGGATGATTTCCCGCACTCGTCTCCTCTGCGCTTGCACTTAACGAGATCTCCTTCCTCTCGTCTTCCTTCGATAGGCCAGGAATTCGTTGTCCTTTGCTCTAATAGAGTCACTCGAACTTTAGGAAATGAAGTGGAATAATTTATAGATCGATATTACCCTTTCGTTTATCTGACTCCTCGCCTCCTCTTATCTATTTTTGGTTTTCCGACTCCTCACTTTTCTCCGGATCTTCAGTTCCCTTGGGAATTCGAAACGAGACATCAAAATCACAATCACTCAACTTTTTCTAGTATCACAAAATACTCGCGCAACAATTAAGTCAAGTTGGAAAGCATTTTCTTCCAAACTTCTCTCTGGTCATGAAGGAAAAAGTTTAGGTTGTCTAAAAAAGGTCACATAACACATTTCTTTGGAAGGTGGGCATGTGAATGAAAATCTGTCAAATGTCAGAGTATATGGTTCATCTGCTAATATGAAGGAGGGTAACATGGATTCTTATGGTATACTTGAGTTTCAATGGTGAGAGATGAGCCCAGCATAATGATAGTAATTCTGGAAAAAAGTGGATTGATGTGAACTTCATCTGTTAAAATAGCACGTGGTATATCACATTGTATAGAAATTCAATGATTATCTTTGGCACCATGGACTAGATAAACCGAAAATCGGAGATGACTTGAGAGGGAACAAATTTAACATATAGACCTATTCCATGAAGTCCTTAACAATGCCTCGCTGGGGCGGGATTGCATCAAGATATTACAAAGAGATGATTTATATAAATTATGTGCATTTATCTTTTCCTCGTTCAATTTGAAGTCATTATGGGAACCGAAACTAGCTTCAAAAAATTATTAATTGTGAACCAGTTCAAATGTTTTGCAAATTAGATGTCGCCATATCTAGTCTCCAAATACCTTAACACCATATCTGAGTCCCTAATATCTCAAGCCAGCTTAAGTCACATCTCGAAGAAGTCACTTCAGCTAATTCGTACTCCTAACAACTAAGCCAATGAAATCTACCATAGGATTTACGAAGTTGCCCCTACGTTTGATTTCACTTTAAAAATTTGACAACTTGCTTAAGGTACTTACAAGCTAAATAATAGTTTTTTGTTCAAATAACTAGTTGGGTGAACTCAACCGCAATTCGAATATCTTGGTTTAAGTTCTTTGATATATTTTCAAGGCTAACTTGCCCGCAAATATTAACGATTAAAATGGACTCAAATAATTAAATTTTTTATATAATTCATAAAATATCCTCAAATTATTCAAGTTTTTACATAATTTGCATAAAATAGCCTCTGTAGTGTCAACCTTAACCTTCACTTATATAAAGGGTTAGTAATCATGCAGTACACGAAAAATCTGTTGTGAAATTTCAAGAAATTCTTTTACTTCCCTTATTTCTTCAGCTCAATCTAATCCTCCCTACTTTGCTTAAAGTGGTTCAACATTGTCATCTACAAGCTATTAACTCTGGAGATTTTTAGACAGGCCGATAATCTCTTTTTGTTCGCAGCTTGTGTTTGAGCTTTTTTTTAATGAAGTCTTGGTATTCTTTTGTAATTAACTTTGTATCTAATAATTGGAACTCATGATTTCTAGATTATAATGCAAATAATTACTTACGTCATGCCTGTTTTTTTTCCTTTGTAATAAATATAGTTTTAAATAAATTTTTTTTTTCTAAATTATTGGTTGGTTGTTCTATTTATATTCAAGCAAAAAGCTCAAATGATAAACATTTTTTTTAACCCATGGTAAGGTGTGGGAGGTGCAACTATGGAAGATCGACCCTTCTACCTCGGGTGACAAGAAAGTGTTGTTGCTATCAACTTCTAGGGTTACACTGCTATGTAACTTACCAGCATCTAAGGAAATGAAGGGCTTCGAGGATACTGTGAAGAAGTATGCAAAGTTGTAAGCTGCTTCAACAAAATTGTTTATTTTTTCTACCGCATAATATATTTGTATATGATACTGAATACATGCTATCAAGCCTCTGAATCTGTGCGAAATAATGGATTTCTACTGAAATCCTTTCTGGGCATTTAGTGGTATACATACGTCAAGTCCTAGAGGATGTACAAATCTATTTGTTTCATTTGAGCATGCATTAAAAGGTAGTAGGTGATAATGATTGTTTTTTTAGAAATTGCGTTATGTTTTTTTTAATATTTAGTAAATTAGGAGATTGGGGGCATACATACATATATGGATGCATACTATCAAGCCTCTGGATCTGTGCCAAATAATTATTTATACTGAAATCTTTTCTGGACATTTAGTGGTATACATACGTCAAGTCTTAGAGGATGTGCAAAACTATTTGTTTCATTTGAGCATGCATTAAAAGGTAGTAGGTGATAGAAATTGATTTTTTAGAAATTCCGTTATCTTTGTTTTAATATTTAGTAAATTAGGAGTGAATTGGAAGCATACATACACATATGATGCATATACATATATGCATACATATATACACACAGACATACATACATATACACACAGACATACATACATACATATATACATACATACATACATATATACATACATACATATATATATATATATATACATACATATATATATATATATATATACACATTTACGTCTTCGGCTTCGGCTCTTGCTAGCGGAGGATTTCACGCCGTCGATCGTCTGCGTCGTCTGCTGCGTCGTCGCGTCGTCACATTGTCAAGGCTTTGGATTTGTCGCGTCGTCGCGTCGCCTTCTGCGCGTCGAGCCTTCGCGCTGCGTTCTTAGTGGCCGATCGACTGCTCAGCCACAGTTTCACTGCTCGACTGCTCGACTGGTCGACTGCTCGCGCAGGGGTTGCGCCAATTTGCTGCAGTGCTTGTGTGAAGCACCCTAATGGCCTCAGGGTTTTCCTACGCTGCCGCCGTCGCCGGTGATAATCCCGCCAAACCCTCTTATGCTACTGTGGTCCACAAACGCAACTTCCTTTTCCACCTCGCAGATAGTCCGGTATTTCTGCAGATTTACCATGATTCTGTTGTTGGAAATGACGATTGCAATCTCATAAAAACAATAGAGAAAAAGCGAGCAAACCAACAATATTCTTCTCTGACGCTGAAATTTCAACTCTTGCAGGAAAATACAAATTTACACTAGTTGGAAAGTTCCAATTAGGTTCTCTAAGATGGAGATCATCAGGAAAGTTTTTCAAGATTTCAACCTGGCTTGATTCAAACTGATTGGGGATTGACAGGTGGGTCATTTCGACGGAAGACATGTTATGATATAGCTGAGGATAGAAGATTACACGAGGATTTTCTCAAAGAAATTCATCATAACCGAGGGAAAACATATAAAATTGCTCAAATGGACCCCTAATTTTGATCGTAGTCAAAAACCCCCAATTGCACATATCTGGTTCTCATTACTTGAATTCAAGCTTCAATTCTTTGACTTACCTATCTTATATGCAATTGGGACTATCCTTGGAAAACCTTTGCAGGTAGACTTACCTATAGTTCATTTCTCAAGGCCCTCTTTTACAAGGATTTTGATTGAAAGAGATATTACACTACCAAATGTAGAGGAAATCTGACTTGGATCTGCTCACAATGGTTATTGGCAAAAATTTATTACGGTACAAAAACCTTACTACTGCAAGCACTGCAAGATGTTTGGACACCCGCAGAAGAAATATTTCAAATTGCACCCACAATTGAGAACCAATAGTCAAAAACAGGAACACACTATTAGTGCACCCCATATGCTTGAATGCTCTCCCAGCAAACTTGATGACAGCCAGCCTGAGGAGGGAATCACAACAAGACAGGAGTTGGTATCTGCCCCTGGGATCCCTTATCCTGACCATATTACAACGGATAATGTTCGAACAAAAAATCAGGATAGTCCCGCAGCCCCTATTCAGGAAGCATCAGGTGCAGAGGTAACAATTCACACTTCACATACACTGTAACCTATCGCGGTGGCAACGACTATCTTTTCTTCTACTGTGGTTCTAACATCAAATCAGATCGGGGATCATATGAGCCAGTCTTCAGATGAAGAATGACAGATTTACACTTCCCGGCGGAAGAAGAAGGCTGGGGGCACACTCCAACTTGGAAACTTAATAGATGATACTTTAATTACTCCTGACAATGGTACGAATCTTCAAAGTTTATTATTTGGCATTATTTGGCTCCGCACCTAAAATTAGAGGAAGAGGCAGGACTAAACTGACTCGTCCCTTGTTACTTGTTTTCTACATGTTGTAAAGTTGTTTTACTTTTTTTTGAGTCTATCTGTATCTTTTTGTTGGGGTATTACTGTACTTATATCCTATGGGCAGGGTGCCTCTTTTGGGCTCTCTCATATATATATATATATATATGTATGTATAAACACACGCACACACATACATATATACATACATAGGGATGGTTGGGGTTTTGCCAACTTTTGCCAATGCGTTAAGAAGTAACGGAATGGCGGAGAGCAATTAAGTTGTGTTTTCATCAAATTTTCATGAATTTTTTGAGGAAGAAGGGTTTCTGAGAAAAGCTGGGAGGAAAGGTGGAAAGCTGGTGTTATTTTTTTTTTCCTGAATTGGAAATAGGGCAATTCGTGGATCATCTGAAATTCACACTTTTTGGGAAATTCACCTATGGTCTTCCGAAAATGGATTTGATTAAAATTTTCTTTGAAATGATTAAATTGATTGGAGACGGGAAAGTTGGATCATTGGATGGAAGACATATAATCATAAAACTTAGTGAGGAGGACTACACGAGACTTTTTGGAAGTAAACCTTGGTTTATAGATGACTCTCAGATGAAAATTTTGAAATGGTCCCCCAATTTTGTTCTGGCTACCAAATGACCATGTATTTTAATTTGGCTAACATTTTCGGAATTGAGGTTGCATTGTTTTAATCAACAGTTGTTGTACTCGCTTGGAGCTATCTTTGGGATGCCACTTAAAGTTGATTTGACAACTCGCAATTTCATTAGACTTTCAGCAACGAAAATATAGGTTGAAAGGGATATTACTTCTCCGATGGCAGAAGAAGTATGGTTGGGAACACAAAATAATAGATATTGGCAAAAAATGGTGGTTGATTGCACACCTAAATATTGCAATAAATGTAAGATCATTTGGCATAATCTGGAGATCTGTGCTGTAACACATCCAGAATTGAAAATAAATAGAAGCAAGCAGCTATAAAAGAAAGAAAATGAGGGGAGGGGGGTGGGGGGAGGGGGGGAACATTAAAGAAGCTTAAAATTCTGTTATGAGTTTCATGTGGATTATCTCGAGCAAAACACAATACAAAATGGAGGTGAAACTGAAAATACTTTTAAACAACATAAAGAGCAAGTTGAAGAAGCTTAAAATTCTGCTATGAGGTTCATGTGGATGATCTCGAGCAAAACATCTCGAGCAAAACACAATACAAAATGGAGGTGAAACTGAAAATACTTTTAAACAACATAAAGAGCAAGTTGAAGAAGCTTAAAATTCTGCTATGAGGTTCATGTGGATGATCTCGAGCAAAACACAATACAAAATGGAGGTGAAACTGAAAATACTTTTAAACAACAAAAAGAGCAAGTTGAAGAAGGCACGCTAGTTATCACTCAAAGGAAAATATTCTTTTTGAGCAACAAGGGGTCCCGGAGGAAACTCCTAGAATAATATTAGTAGAAGAGTTACATGAAGCACAGATGATCTTGAAGAGGAATGGCAGGTTCAAAGAACCAGTCGAAAGAAAAGAAATGTTAATAGAGAGCTAAGTTATATGAATCAAAATGTTGTTATTCGGTTTTCAGAAAAATCCTCGGCAGGAATTTATTCAAATGTGAATGATGGAGCTCCTTCTTGTATCACTAAAGGGAGTAGATCCACCTCCAAAAGTTATCTTTTTTATCCGGAATGTTAGAGGCATTGCAAAATGTCAAGCCTCTAAAAGATTGGTGAATCTTTGCAGGATTCACAGTATTCAGTGTTTAGATATTCTTGAGTCTACGATCTTGATCGATAATCTCTCTAAAACTATTAAGAAGTTGGGTAATTACAACTACTTTTATAATATTCACCTTAAAATTTGGTTTATTTGGAGAAAGGAAGTGAGGGTCAATTTGTTGGTTGATATTGCTCAATTATTACACTCGTAAGTTCATTTGTTTAATATAAGTGTTCATTTATCAGTGATCATTGTTGGCTGCTCATTGGCAGACCGGGAAAAACTTTGGATGGATTTGGGAAACACCAAAACTTATGTTAATGGTCTTTGGTTGGTAGGGGTAGATTTTAATGTTAATGCTTCTCCGGTGGAGAAGAAAGATGGTCGGCCTCCAAGTTATAAAGCCATGGAGAGATTCAAAGATCAGAATAAGAACAATGGCTTGTTTGAAGCCAATTTTAGTGGGAGTTTATTTACTGGGAAAAGAGGTAAAATTTTTGAGGGATTGAATATAGTTCTTATAAATTTTAATTGGTTAGAGACTTTCCAATACACCATTGTGACTCCTCTCAATAAAACTTGTTTGGACCATTCTCCTCTGCTGGTTAAAATTAATGTTCTGGAAAATCCAGGTGTCAAGAAATTTATATTTCTTAATGTTTGGACTTCTCATTGCAATTTTCTAGATGTCGTGAAAGAACACTGGTTGGCTGATCCTTCTCTCCCCTCATGGATGTCTCTTTGGGCTAAACACAAAAAGGTGGCTGCAAAACCTAAGTCTTGGAATTGTGATGTTTTTGGTAATGGTCACAAGAATGTGGTTGAAGCCGAAAAAGAAGTAACCAAAGAGGAAGAACATTTTGTTAATGATATGGTGACTGAAAATGATTTGTTTAATGCATATAATAAACTGAATGAAGCCATCCAAATTGCAATAGATTATCTGAAACAAAAAGCCACATACAACCATCATTTGGAAGGCGATAGAAACATTAAATACTTCCACGCTTGTATCAAATAGAGGAGAAAGGAAAATGTTATATTTAAGATAAAGGATGATAGTGGGAATTGGCTTTATTCCCAATATCCTATCCTTAAGAGTGCTTTAGATTATTTTCAAAATCTATTTCAGAAAAAGGAAGTTTTTATTCGAAGAATTGGATGTGAACACATTTCCGGATGA